AAAAAAAAAAAAAAGAGGTGGGGGGGGGTGGGGGGGGGGGGGGGGGGGATGTTGGAAGTAAACACTTGTTCTCTTTTGGTCAGAGTGAAATGAAACAAGAAGCATATTACCGCTCAATTCAGGGAATAAAAGGAGAGCTGTTAATCAAAGAGAAAATAACAGAAACTACCATGCATTGAATAAACTAAGACAGGCCATAGCTTTCATTCTGTTCTATCTATCATTGTCATCTTTCATTGTCTTTGTAATATTTCCTTTTTTGGATCCCTGGTCCAACTCCCAAAATCTACAACTCAACTCTGCGAATTCAGAGTTCAACCCCAGGGTACATCTCCCCAAATCCAAGGTACAACTCCCCAAATCTACAGTGCTACTCCCCAAATCTACAGTGCTACTCCCCAAATCTACAGTGCTACTCCCCAAATCTACAGTGCTACTCCCCAAATCGACAGTGCTACTCCCCAAATCTACAGTGCTACTCCCCAAATCTACAGTGCTACTCCCCAAATCTACAGTGCTACTCCCCAAATCTACAGTCCAACTCCCAAAATCTACAGTCCTACTCCCCAAATCTACAGTCCTACTCCCCAAATCTACAGTCGAACTCCCAAATCCAGGGATAAACTCTACAAATCCAAGGTTTAGAATCCTTATTAAATTTTTCGTATATGCAAATACCAGTGTTCTCAGCCCTATCTTAAAACAAGAAACAGCTAACAGCCCTTATTCAAATTGATAAAATATCTGATGTTTGTAAGCAATGTAAAATGTTAGACATATGACCAACTCACCTCAGGAACTCCATCCAATGGTATTTCTAAGGGCGACATCTCCCAGTCATAAACTCTTGTCTTCCGCAATATTTTATTAAAATCGCTGAATCTTAATGACTTGTCAGACCCTGACCTGGACCGGTTTTTCCCGCACAGAATGTCCCGGGCCTCACATGACGTACACGAAGATTTCTTCCTGTAGATAGGTGAGCTTGGTGTCTGACTGGACGGTCCAGTCTTACACAAGCCTGAGATGACACTAGGGTCCACATTCTGGGAGGCATCACAATGGAACGATGCTTGCTTCTTCAAGGTTTTCTTATCTGTTTTGATCTTCACGCTGTTTTTCTTCTTCCTCTTGACACTCTCTTTTTTGCCCTTACCTTTCTTGTCAACTATGCAGCTGTTGGTGCTTGCCTCAAGTTCTTGGTTAAGTTCATATTTACTGCCGCAAGTGGACTTCCGGGATTTGGAGGAACTTCCACCCATTCTTCAAGTTTTCTGCGTCTGCCCAGAAGAAATTTACTGGCCGGAGCACAGTACTGCTACACCGGCCCAGGAAAGAAATGACCAGATGTGAATATTAGTTCTTAAGTTCTCCCTTTACTGTACTGTAAGCTGGGAAAGTAAAAATATTATTTAAAAAAGTAACTTTTTTAACTACCTGTAATTTTAAGATTCCATTTTAACAACTCCATGAATTATCAACTTTGTTTGACATGATTTATTTCCTTTAAATGAAATTATTTATTTACTAAATTCAAACTGACTTTGCTCCCTCAAATTGAAATTGTTTTCATTTTCAAACTACCGGTTTACATCTACAAATAAGTTATATTTAGGAATTGATTGAAGCTGGTCATTCAAGTTTTGAACAACAGCAAAATAATTTCTCACAAAATATATTAACTCACCAACAAAGCTAAAGAAGGAAGGGAGAATACCTACTAGTAGATATTATTTACACTTACCTCATACAAATAACACAATTTTCTGCACCTACAAAAAAACTAATGAGATTAATCCACGACTGAATCATTTATTAAACCATCAAAACGTGAACTTTTCCAAAGTATTCCATCACAACGTGGCCTGTCAGAAACTATTACTCCTCAGTCCAAGCTATGAAAATTAAAAACAGCCTTGTTCGACCTATCCCCATCACTCACCAAGCACATAGTAAGATTTTCAGGACTGGATGTGAGGTGAAGCCATCTTAAGAACCACTTCAGCCTACCACCAGGCTAATGGAGCATCACATGTCAAGTGGGGTGAGATTAAAGTGGGTGTTGGAGGTGGATGGTGTTTAACCATTGTATCATGTGCGAGTAGTATAATAATGTAGTCAATTTTTAGGCACCATATTTTTAAGAGCAATAAATTATAGCGCAAAATTAAATGTTAAAAACCACACCAAAATTATAAAAGTATTAAAAGGCCAAGGGCAGCAGCTCAGCTCCCAAACTTGTTCAATTTATAAGACTGTCTTTTCTAAAGATACATGTTTTACTGTGTTGTTAAAGGTTACTATTAGTCTATACAATTAAGATTCAATTTCACTACAATCCAGCTTTCTTTTGTAGGCAGCTAAAGGAAAATGTGTTTTTTTTTATTTTTACAAATTTTAAGAAGACAGTTATATTGTTCAGGTGTGTCGTGTCTTATGGGGGATGACATAATTTTGCAGTCTTTTGTGACGCTCAATATTTTTAAGTAAGTAATAATATAAATAACCCCACCACCTATTCTTAATAGAGTAAAGCATAAAGGGAGGGGATTATTTGAAAGCACTCTAGGGACATGTTTTAATTTTCAAGAAAATTTTAGTCTAAGTGGTCCGTGTTTTTTTTTTTGGATACATGGAAATGTGTGGTGTATTATTAGATTCATGGAAATGTTTTTTGGATACATGGAATTGGATGGATGATTGTTGGATACATGGATTTGATGTTTAGTGCATGGGAAAAGGGGTCAGATGGTTGAATTTTTATTGTAATGAGTGGGGATGGCTGACAGGCAACCTATAATGCTTATTTAAAAACCTTCATCCCCATGTTTGGTTAATTTTTCCTACATAAAAATAAATGTATGACTAAAAACCCCTTTTATATGTATTAAAACTATGCAATATTAAACTTTAACCACAATATCTCCAGGTAAATCCTTTTATTCTATGGTGATCCAGGTTAAACAGACACTGTAACATCGGGTAAAATAACATTGCACTGAATAAATACAACAACAAATATTAAACATCCAAGTCACAATGAATTTAATGGGTCATCAAAACAAAATACAATGTCCTTCAATCATATTGTAACATATGATCATAAGTTATTCTATAGCCAATTTCTCTTCAATAGTTTAACATGTTTAATGGAGCATGAAACTAACTGAATGAATTACTGTACAAAAATAAGTGGTGGTTCAACCATGAAAATATTTACAAGACATCTTTGTGAGATTTTAAAGGTTTCAAATGACTCTTCTATGGCTTCAGAGGTGCTAGGCCCAACTTTGCTCGCAGTTCATTAGCTACTTTAATTTCTTGTTCAGCACTACTGTTGGTGCTTTTCTTATTCTTATCATCTCTTCTCTCATCCCGTTTATCTTCCCTCCTGTCATCCCGCTTATCTTCCCTCCTGTCATCCCGCTTATCTTCCCTCCTCTCATCTCGCTTATCCTCCCTGCGATCATCTCTCTTATCTTCCCGTCGATCATCTCGCTTATCATCCCTTCTCTCTTCACGTTTATCATCCCGACCGCCATCCTTTCTGTCATCTCTGTGACCCCTCAAGTCCCTATCTTTGTCTCTGTGATGTCTGTCCCTTTCATTGTGACGTTTCCGGTGCCTGTCATCATCCCTGTCATAACGGATCTTTTTGTTATTCCTCTTGTACCTGTCATCTTCCTTGTGCTTGTGGTCTACAAAAAACAGGAATAAAGTAAAATAATTCTTAGAAAAAAAAAGGACATCTATTTTTTGTGTTCAGAAATAATATAATCAACTGAAAAACTTCTTCCAACATTTACAATGATCATGTTAATGGAGGAAAACACTATGGAGTATTTAATTTAACATAAAAGAAAGCAACCAGAAGTTTGTTAGATATTAAAAACATATAACTAAGCCTTTTTCTATATTTTAAAAAAAGACTGCCACAAGTTGGACAAAAAACTGTTGTAACAAGGATGGACTTTTATTTAATAATGATGAGGATTATAATTAGCTGTACAAAAAAAAAAAATTATCTCTAGGACCCCCCCCCCCCCCCCCCCCCCTTCTTTTTTTTTTTTTTTTTTTCTCTTTTTTTTTTTTTTTTTTTTTAAAAAAAAAAAAAAATTTAACTCTGGGACCCCCCCCCCCTCCCCTTATTATTTTTTATTAACTCTCACCTGGAGATCTGTGTCTTTTATCTACCCTGTCTCGTGATCTTGATCTCCGTTTAATTGGACTGCGATGTCGATGGTTCTCTCTAAAACAATGAATTTTTTTGTTGCATACAACAAATTTTGTATTTTAATGATTTTTTTGTTGAGTGCATTAGGCTTTCAATAAATTAAGATACATTTTCACAATAGCCAACCTAACGATGTTTTTTTTAAATGTTACAAATTCTAATGTTTCAGCTTGACAAAAATCAAATATTTGTTATGGATATCAGAAATTAAATAAAATTTGTTAAACCAACTGAGAATGTATGATTTACCGTCTTCTAGGGCTAGTTCTTCTTCTATGAGGTGAGCTTAGGCGTGGAGGTTTGTTTTCTTTAACAGGTGCGGGAGGAACAACTTTCTTAACTTCCTGCTGCAGAAAATAATTTTAAAAATATATATTTGCCAGTAAACTAAATTTCTGTGTAAATTAGATGTCTCAAACAGATAATCCATTTACCAAAAAGAATAATAAAATTATCCTTACTGTCCAGGATAAGGTATCATGTCCAGTTTAAGACTATGCCAAAAGATCCACCTAGTTGAAATAAGTCTTATCATAAAAACTATGAAAAGTTTCTATAAAAATAACAAACACCCTCAATGAAATCCAATGAAGAGCTCTAAAAGATCTAAAATGACCTATTAAATCACAAGATGAACTAAAACCTGGCATCTCTCATGGTGCATATTCATTCCTTCCTCGGACCACCCCTTTCCCCCCCCCCCCCCCTCGCCCCCCCATCCTTCAGCTCACTCACAAGTCTCGTTTTACTACCCGTGAGTTCAGCTTTGATACATGCCATCAGACTTTACATTAATCTCCGTCCTTCTGATGCCTTGACACTCACCTTCAATATCTCCTCTTCCTCTTCAGACTCCACTTCATCCACATCTTCCTCTATGGCACTGACACGTGGCTCCAAGATATTAGTTTCCTCCAGCACACTGCGTTTCTGAAACAAGCAAACTCCAGCTTATTATTTGTTTTTAAACTTCCCCTTTTCTAATAAAATCCATGCATCAGCATAAACATGGATAAATGTTGAACACCAAGACCAATGTGAATATTACCCACTTATAAAATACCAAATCCTAATTAAAATGCACCTGTATTCTAGGTAGGATTATGTCACAAATCCTTTCCTCCCTCAATAACTCATCAATGTACTCATCCATGTGGACAATGTGAAAAGCTTAAAGAGAAAAAAATATAGTGAATAAAAAAGTGCAACAGAAACTGTCACTGAAAAGTGATTCAATACCTAATGCAATAAAAGCACAAAATCTTCAACAAGTAAGATAAGAGAAATCTCATAGTGAAGATTCTACTTTGATTACTGTACCAGTAATAATTGGTATGAATGAATTAACTTACAGTTACAGACCGAAAATTAGAGAAATTACAATTTGTTTTGTAAAGTGAAGTGTTACTGTATCAGAAAACTGACCACAGTATCTTTGCCTCAAAGCAGATAAGTAAAATGAACTGATTTAAAAGAAAGGAAATTGATAAATTTTAACATATTACAATATACCTCCATTTCTGTCAATACGTTTCAATTTCCTGTAGTCATAGTACAAAGGTTCAAGATACTTGTAACAATCAACTGATGTACCAGTCAGCCTCATGTACAGGGCACCCAATGCTCTGACATATCTGTTATAAAATGATAAAAGAGGATAAACATATTTAGTTATAATATATTACAAACAATAGTGCCCTAATAGCTTACACCTATGTATCATACATTAAAAGAATGAAATAAAAGGATCTCCCCCCCTTCTAGGAAGATTCTTACAGGTTCATCTTAAATATACTGTTGGAACTTTTGATAACGTTCTGTATTCTCAAATGAATATTTTTGAAAATAAGATAGCAAAACCTCCCCAAGTAAAAAAATCTGACTAGGTACAATGTTTTAAAGCAAATACTTGAATGAGAAAATTAATCCTATTTCAGGTTAGCAGACCTGTTTACGGGCAAACTCTTAAAATCGTACAATATCATCACAAATAGCCCAACACCTTATATTTATAGTAAAAAATAAACATACAGTATGTACAATGTATACACCTCAAAATCTTACACCGTACGCCAAAATCGTGAGAGTAAACAGGTCTGGGTTAGCTGCTCTTAAACCCTTTCTAAAATAAAGTAGCCCCTAAAAACATTTCATCGCAAGCAGAGGAAGTGAAAATTCAACTTGGAATAATAATTTTATTTATAACCCATTTATTTATTTTGAATGTGCTCATTAGCAAGGGAGCTTGAGATTAAAATAAAATAACGAAGACACACAGAAAATAAAGTAAGGAAACGATAGAATTTAATTGACTTACTTGAAGTCTTCATTCTTAATAAATTCAACAACAATATCTTTTTCTGGTTGAATCTGTAACATCTTCAGTAACAGACAAAGAAATGGCACAGGCTTGATGTTGCCACCAAAAACTCCACCAACATATTTCAGCTCCATTGCTTTGTCCACCATTAATGCAGCTTGAAGACACAAATGTTTATATTAAATAATGTTATTATTGATATGGAGGGAAAACTAGAGCAAAAATATGGGCACATCACAAAACATAGCATGGTCATGTCTGTAAAATGCCACCAAGCTCACATTCCATGAAAACACTGACACAAGCCAAGTAAAAGTTAAATTGCTGAAAACACAAAGAAACCTGGTTCAGAACAATAATTAGGATTTGGAAACAGAAACCTGGTGCTGCAGACAATGTCAATGAAAGAAGCCTTAGAGAGAAGTTGTTTCCTTGGCTGTAGCTTAAAACTCAAGTCTGCCATAAAGAATGAATGAATTATTAAATACTCGCTGCCATTATTTATATTAACACATTTGCACCACAAAAACAAACAATGAAAGTGAAAGAGTGTCTTGTGCACACGATCAAACATTTAAAATAGATAACTTTAACATATTTTAAAATTAATAGCAGAGCAAATAAAGAAAAAAACAATGTCTGGGTTCTGGGTTTCAACTCATTACTATTAAGTTCCCCTTTAAAAATAAAAATCACTTAAAAATGTGGAAAAAGAAATTAAGCCCTTAAGTTGATCATATATAATAAATGTCTAAAACTCATTTAAATATGGTGCACAGGCATAGCCTGAGTATGTAAAATCTCACAATTGAGTTCAAACAAGGAAAGGGGGCAGCTGCAGGGTGATTGGTCTTGTTGCATATGTGAACCCTAATATTATATTATGCTTAGACCAATGTAAGGAAGCATAGCGCTCTATCCAGCATAACACATTTTTTTTACCATGAGTTTTCCTCCACATTTCGTGAGCCATTTTTTCACTCATCCCTTTCCCCCATATTTCTTGTATATTTCTCAATATAAAACTATCATGCTTATACAATTTGTTGATATTATAAATTAAGGAATGTTGATAATATAAATTAAGGAAGGAAAGTATAAATATGCTTAAGAACATTGTTATATTAAAATAAAATAATTTAACGCTACATTCCTATTTTTTCTTATATAAATGCAACAAACTGCAATTTTGTGTGTGCAATTTTGAAAGGCACCCAAAAAGCTCTTAATTGCCTGAACAGTACAGAATAATAACAAGCACAGTTTGTGGGTTAATGTGATTTTTAACATAAAATAAAAATTAACAAATCAGTCGGTCGACAAAAATTTGTCTTTTCAGAAGAATGTGTTGTCAGATTTTTTCACTTTAAGACTAAAAGCATTAATTATATGGTAAATTTAAGGTTACAACCCTCCCCACCCCCTACAACCACTCATAATTTTTTTACCAGGAACAAGGTAAGTTTAAAAAAGCTATGTCTTATAAAGATATGCCTCAAATGTTTGTTCTCTTTGCCAATGGATTTCAAACATTGTATTTTTATTGACAATCTTTGATAAATGGTTGTTAAGTAATGACAGATACAAAGCATCACGTCTGCTCCCCCTCCTCTTCCCCCCAGTGAATTTGGAATATACAGATAGTCCATGAAAGTCTTGGAGGGATGGGGGATTAGAAGTTGATCATTGACCAAGGCAGCCGGGACACACTATCAGTATGAGCATTAACTTGTTAATCAGGTTATCTGATCAAGAGGAACCAGGGAACTTGCTATTACCTCAATATATCACAGAATGACAATGTGGGAGCTTTAGTGTCATGGCATGTGCTACCAGGTACCGTGTAAAACAGCTGATCTGAACAAATGATACAAACTTGTTTTGAAACACGCGAAGCATAGAAAAACAAAAACTAAAAATACAGTAAAGAACAAGCAATAAATTGTTTCCTTCATATTTACAAGATTTTCAATCCTGTTGCAATATCAAAAAGATTAAGGTGTTCAACTAACTTTTGATAGGGAAAAAAGGACATATCCTGTTAAAACATTTTAAACAATTCAGTTTTCTCTTGGACTTCACCTAGTATAAAGGGTAAGATCTTTTCAATTTGACTTTGTTCTCTACTGAATTACTCTTTGTGTTATTGGTAGTTGAAGGACAAACAACATCTAATAGTAACAGTTGAAAAATAATTTTTGCCGAAATCCTTGTATCATCTTCTGTCCGCTTTTGCTGTTTTCAGTATTCTGTTCCATGATACATATATATTTTCACGCTATTGTAAAAGCCCTGCCACTATATCATAAATATGAAAAGTGGTGATGTGGCGAAGAAAATGGTGCACTTAATATAAAGAAAATGGAATCCCCTGATAATTGCGCTCTGGTCAAGTGCCATCTTCACACACACCCCCCCCCCCTGGATGGCCGCCCACACAGTTTCCATGTGTCTCAAACATATAAAGGGACTAACATTAGCAGAAACTGGTTGGTTGTTGTTCGTCCGTCGAAGTCAACAAGGACCTTCGAATCTCCGGTGAGGGGCGGGCGGGGGGATTACGGTGAGCTCTTAGGTGGCTTGTTAGACCGATCCTTGCTCGGAATAATCTATGACACTGTGGGCATGGAATAGTTGCTTCAGACGATGACCTAATGTTGCTCTTTCGGACAAGCCTGCGTGTCTCAGCTGTGGTTTTTCTCTTAGCTTCATGGGATTTAGCCCCCTTCTTGACAGCAGCTCTCCATCTGGCTCTGTCCTGGGCTGTCTGCACCCATTGAGTAGGGTTTATGCTGAAGGCCTTTAGTGCCACTTTCAGTGAGTCTTTGTAACGCTTTCTTTGGCCTCCTTGGGAGCGTTTGCCTATCGTGAGTTCTCCAAAGAATATTTGTTTCGGGAGCCGGTGGTCTGCCATACGGGCTACGTGTCCCATCCAACGGAGCTGAGACTGCATCAGAGTGGTGAAGATACTAGGTAGGTTTGCTCTAGCGAGGATCTCGGTGTCAGGGACTTTGTCTTGCCACCTGATGTCGAGGAGTTTCCTGAGGCAGGTAGTGTGAAAATGATTCAGTTTCTTGGCGTGACGCTGGTAGACAGTCCACGTTTCACATCCATAAAGCAGTGTCGGGAGGACTGCTGCGCTATAGACCTTGAGCTTTGTTTCACGACTGATACCTCTCCTGTCCCAAACAGTGCTGCGGAGCCTGCCAAATAGGGCACTAGCTTTTGCGAGTCTGCCATTCATTTCATCATCCATGACGACAGATCTAGAGAGGGTGCTGCCCAAGTAAGTAAATTTATCCACCGGGTTGAGACGCTGTCCACTGATGATGATGTTGGGTTCAACGTAGGGCTTACTGGGAGCTGGCTGATACATCACCTCAGTCTTCTTTGTGTTGATTGTGAGGCCAAAGTTATTGCAGGCCTCTGAGAAGATATCAACACTGTGTTGCATGACGGCTTCTGATGGAGCATTAAGGGCACAATCGTCTGCAAACAGAAGCTCGTTGATCGTGGTATGTTTGACCTTGGTTTTAGCTTGAAGCCTCCTAAGGTTAAATACTGATCCATCAGTACGAAACCGGATTGGCAAGCCCATGGTGGAGTCCTTGAACGCATCAGACAGCATTGCGGAATACATAATACTGAAGAGTGTGGGAGCAAGAACACAACCCTGTTTTACACCGTTTGTGACGGGGAATGCTGGAGATGATTGACAATTGTCCTGTACTCGGGCCATCATACCATCATGCAGCTGACGGATGATGTTTGTGAACTTGTCTGGGCATCCGTATTTCTTCATGATTTTCCACAAGCCAGCTCTATTGACCCTGCCAAGGCCTTATTCAAGTCGATAAATGTAGTATATAGGTCTGTATTTTGTTCCTGGCATTTCTCTTGAAGCTGTCTAGCAGCAAACACCATAACGATGGTTCCGCGTTTTTTGCGGAAACCGCATTGACTTTCGGGTAGGTGACCTAGCTCCAGATGTGCATTCAGGTGGTTCAGAAGGGCTCGGGCCAAGATCTTGCCTGCAATGGACAGTAGTGAAATTCCGCGGTGATTGTCGCATGTCTGGCGGTTACCTTTGTGTTTGTACAGGTGGATGATTGAGGCATCCTTGAGGTCTTGTGGTACAGTTTCCGTCTGCCAGATGATTTGGAATAAGCCCAATAGCTTATCCGTCAGCGCTGGTCCACCCTCCTTGTAGATTTCGGCAGGAATCATGTCGGGGCCAGGTACTTTGCCATTGGACATTTGGCGGATCGCTGTCTGTATCTCATCAAAAGTTGGGACGGCGTCCAGTGAATTGTTCGTTGGGACCTGGGGGAGTCTTTCAATGGCCTCATCATTAATGATGGAAGGTGTATTGAGCACACTTTCAAAGTGTTCCGCCCATCTTTCCAAGATTTTCTCTTTGTCTGTAATGAGCGTAGAACCATCAGCACAAAGGAGAGGGGAAGAGCCTGAGGTGGAGACACCATAGATTTCTCTCAGGCCACGGTAGAAGTTTTTCATGTCTTTCTTGTCTGCAAAGCCCTGTATTTCATCAGCTTTTGAATTCAACCAGGAATCTTGCATCTGGCGCAGTTGTATTTGGACCTTGCTGCGGATGCCCCTAAGTGCAGCTGTCTTTGCTGTTGACGTTGGGTCATCATGGAGGGCCTTGTACGCTCGGCGTTTTTGCTCAAGAAGAATTTGGATAGCTGTGTTGTTTTCGTCAAACCAGTCCCTGTGTTTCCTCGTAGAGGGTCCGAGGCGCTCAGCGGCTGTATTGTAGACCATCTCACGAATCGTGGTCCACGCTTTTTCCGCGTCCTGGTTGTCCAGTGTGATTGTATCAAGGCGTTGATCTAGGCTGTCAACAAAAGTTTGTCTCACATCAGGGATATTCAGCCTATTTATGTTGAGGCGTTTCGGAACTTTCGTGGCCTGAGGTCGTCTCTTAGGTTGGATATGAATTTTCATCTTTGAGACGATGAGGCGGTGATCCGTCCAACATTCTGCGCCACACATGGCCTTAGTCACCCTCACGTCCTGGCGGTCCCTATTTCTGACTATGACATAATCAATTAGGTGCCAGTGTTTAGAACGGGGGTGCATCCAGGAGGTCCGGTTGCGCGTTGGCAGGCTGAAGGTGGTGTTCGTTATTAGAAGGTCATGTTCAGCACAGGTCTGCAGTAGCAGTAGGCCGTTGCTGTTGCACTGACCAACACCATGCTTCCCAATCACTCCCCCCCAGGAGGTGTAGTCACTGCCGACACGTGCATTGAAATCCCCAAGTATGATGAGTTTGTCAGCAGACGGTGTGGAAGAGATAACAGTCTTCAGGTATTCATAGAATTTGTTTTTGGTCTCTTCTGTGTTTGTCATGGTGGGTGCATAGGCACTGACTAAGGTAGCAGACTTCTTTCCATGTCAGAGGGGGATTTTCAACGTCATGAGACGGTCATTTATACCTTTTGGAGAGCTGGGGAGCTTGCTCACAAGAGAGGTTTTGATAGCAAAGCCAACACCAGCTTCTCGCCTTGCGTCAGGGTCACGCCCGCTCCAGAAGAAAGAATAGCCAGCAAGCCTTTCTGTGATTTCACCCTTGCCAGAGAATCTGGTTTCACTAAGGGCGCGATGTCTATATTATATCTCGCAAGTTCATGGGCAATGAGCGCCGTGCGACGTTGAGGTATGTTAGAAGTGTCTCTGTCAAGCAGTGTGCGTATGTTCCATGTGGCAATTTTAAGTGAAATAGTGTTTATCCTTGATTTACGAGCGCAAAGATTGTGTCCCCGCTGGCCGTGTTCAGTCGGCCAGGGTGTGAAGGAGCAGGCATTCTTTTGGGCACCTATTCTAGCCCCTTCGTCATGCATTTAGAAGAGCCTGCCTGTCGCCACGAGACTTGGGATGATGGGTATAGTTGGATGACTGATGACTTGCGCGGGTGACAAAACTATTTTGGCATGTTAAATTTCTATTTGGCAATAAAAAAAAATCATTTATATTACTAGTTCTTGAAGAAATCTGGTAGCAACTTGACCATTGATGAATTTCATTTTTCGCTGTGTTACACATTTTTTACACATGTTTTGCCACAAGACCGGTTCACTGTTACTACACACTAAAGCATTTAGACTTTTTCAAACTCTATTTTACTACAGATTTGGTTGCATATATGTATATACATGCATAGGAGCCAAAATGATCAATAAATTGATCGTGGGCCCTTAAGATATAGAAGTGTGTGCAGGACAGTGGACCGAAAAAGCTTTCTGTTTTCAAAAATTGGTCCAGGTATAACATCATTGATGAGGAGTTTTATCTACTAAGTGGATTTATTATGAATGCAGGAATAAGTCAAGCTTTTCATTTTACAATAGAGGTCCAGAAAATCCTTATACGGTTGACTATGAGAAAGGCTGTTATGACAAAGGACATATTCAAGGCTATATTGAGTTTCCTAAAAGTTTCAGATACTTAAAATAAAGGAGACATGCTGTGCAAATTGGCAGACTTTTATGTATCTCAATGCAAAATACAAAGAACTGTATCAGCATAAAGAAAATGTAACAATTGATTAACAATTTAGGGAAAATAGGACATCTTTGATGATGAACCCATTCCTGTAAAGCCCAAAATCTTTGTGCCGTGCGCCGCAACCTGACATTAACAGCAAATTAATTGAGTGTGCCAAAACAAGAGTAAAATGGTCAAAGCATATTGTTATAGAGAGCTTGTTTACATAATATTTCTCGTGCGTGCCCTCTGATTGACCCCGCATGAGACGCTGTGTTCACAAAGGGGTGTGGCTTAGGCTTTTGATGTATTTCTTGTTTACACCGCCAACTACTAAAAATAATTAATCTGTTCCAAGTAGTGTTTTGTAGAATGAATCTGATGGTTCTAGAAATGCCATGTAGCAGCTCGAAGGCAGGGCTTGGGCGTCGGTAGACCCACCTATATAAGGGATTGACAGGCTCGGAAGAAGGGAGATTTTCAGATAAATTTTCTTAACATTACGAGGCGTGTTTTATTCTTTGTGTATTTGTGTGCTCATATGTGTTTATTTCGCATTATTTATTGGCACATTATTCTAACTGTGTTAACTGTGTACCGGTACAAGATCTACCATACTGTAAGTTGAAGATTGTAATTATATTTTTCTTTTCTTTTGTAATTATCTTAAGACATAATAAATCTTAATTAATTGTAACTTGAAACTGTTTTGGGTCGTATTTTTAATATTGTTGATTCTATGGTATCGTCCTTTGTTAGGCACTGCTTACAACGAGCCAATTAAAATTAAAATAGGAGAATAATTTCTCCCAATACAAGTCAGTGCGTAACAATATATAGTATCTTGTCGAAAGTTCTCGATTGTATTAGAAAAGTAAGGGCGTTTCTAGACGCGTCGGTAGACCCACATATATAAGGGATTGACAGGCACAGAGGGAGACGGAGATTGATAGATATTTTTAACTTCACGAGACGTGTATGATTCTTTGTGTGCTCATGTGTTTATTTCGCATTCTTCATTATTAATTGGCACATTGTACTAATTGTGCACCGGTACAAGATTTTTCCGATACTCTGTAAATTGATGATTTGTAATTATATTTCTTTTGTTCGTAATTGTATATTACTAAATTAAATCTTATTAATTGTAATTGGCACTGTTTTGGGTGTCGTTTTTTTTGCATTTGTATGTCTCTATGGTATTGTCCTTTGTTGTGTACTATTTAAACGAGCCATAAATTAAAAAATAAGAGATTAATTTCTCACAATAGAAGCTAGTGCATAACACTGTGATGTTATGTTTTTATCGACTTAAAAAAAAATTATTTTTTACAAAAATAATAATAAATCAAATTTAGCAAGGATATTTTGAACAAACACCAAATATCAAAGAGCATCCAATTACCTTTAAAATGATATATGATACTTGTAGGTAGCTAAAAAATTACAGCCATGAGACACATTGAATAATAAGATGTATTCAAGGTCAATAAAAACCGGAAAAATCTACAGTCTTTTGAGAGTTAATCAATTTGTAAATAAATATAAAAAGATTATTATATGAAATACAATTTTGATAGTTATGGTCACAAAAATAAAACCAGTAAAAGATGCCTATAACGTGTGAGACATAAATATTTAAACTTGTCCAAAACCATCAAACCATCACTGGGATGAATATTGATTTCCAGCGAAAGAATTATTCACGTTAGTACAACTAGTTAGTTTTTAAAATGGATAAACTATAATGCATGTAATGTCGGTTAGGGTGACCAAACGTCCCGTAAAAACGGGATTGTCCCGTTTTTTCGTGATCGTACCCAGTGTCCCGAAAAAGTCTCTCGGGATGCATAAATGTCCTGTTTCTGAAACAAAACACATTTTCATATCACTAAAACATCCTAATTTATAATATAACTTCAAGTAATATTTTGGCTAGCTGTGTAGCCAGTGCCAGTAATGATGTGGGCTCATGTGATGGCTGCACTGTTCCCCCTCCACCACTCTGCTGACACTGAAAAATTATTGTTTTTGTTTATGATATGCCTCAGAGTTAAAATTAAAATTTAAAAGTGAACGTAAATTTAAAAAGATTTCAAAGTCTCAAAATAGCTAAATTGGGCATATTTAAAAAAAAAACAGATTAATCGTTCATTATATATACCAGCAATGGTTCTAGTATTTCTTTTGTAGAATTGAACATATTTCTTTTTTCGTGTAAATTTCCAGACTACCTTTAATTTGTTGAAATGAAGTACCCTAAACGCTGATCGACTACTACTACTATTGGTATTAGCGGTCACGTGACAAGGATGACGGACAAATATCTCACGACTTAGTTACGGCGGTGATGTGACTTGGTCGAATATATAACAATTAAAGCCAGACGAATATCTCAAGAACCTATTGATCCGATTGCCGGACATGTAGTCATGATGTAGACACTTCGTAAAAACAAAAGAAGTGGCATCTAAGAAATGCACTACTTCCTGTCGTGTCCGATTTAAAAAATTTTTTTTCCGCTTTCCGATTTTTATGACGGGTGAAAAATTATAATGTTTGGAAAATCTGGATTTTAAGGGGTTTGTCGGATGGTCGGAATGAGGGGGTGAAAAATCCGTATAATTCCGACAAAATCGGAAGGGTTGACAGGTTCAGGTTCATTTTAAAGCGCCCCCCTTTTCTTTTTTCAACTCTTAAACCCATTATTTTCATCAATAAAATAATATAAAAGCATATTTTGGCGCCTCTAACTCGTTGGCGCCTAGGAACATCTGTCCCTCCTACCCCACTTCGCTACGCCTCTGTTTGGAGGGTATCCCCCCAAACCCTCGTTGGGTGAGTCCCATTTTTCCCAGTTCATTATTTGGTCACTCTAATGGAGGTCCAATTAAATGCATATTTCTTATGAAAAAAAGTATTCGATGATTAAAGCTTAAAATTATGTTCACTGTGTCACCATAGGTGTGAAACGAATAGCCTCGTTTCCATATTTAGATTGGCATGCTCTTCTGAAGAGAAGCTTCTCTACTACTCTGTCCATGTCAATGATGAAGAAATCAATTTATCGTTAAGACAAAAAGAGAAATAAACATAGGTCACCGAAAATCCTATGCCAAAAGCGTGTCACAACAAACTACGTAATTTTTCAACATGCACAGATTGTGTGCGTTATCGAAGTACCTTCTTTTATCAATGAAAAAGCCACAATGTCCAAAACATAAAAACTAATTCCCATTTCCCATACAAATTTTGAACTAGTTTTTGCCAAGGCAAATTTCCCCAAAGTAACTTACTAACTACTACACTAAGTTTAGTAGGCCTACTACTACTTTATTACTTACTTACTTAGGTAGGGGGGGCATAGTATCTATAGACTGTAGTCTATAGTCATAGTATATAAATATAGTAAGTTAAATAAGGGAAAGGGCAGCTTTGGCGAAACTAGAAACAAAGTGATGAAATTGTTTAGGCTTAGGCCTAAGTTTAATGAACTTCATTTGAAGTTGCTAGTCTCAGTTTCAGGCATGAGTCAAACTCAATAAAAGTTTGAAAAGTAATCATGTGTCGATGTGTTTCTCTATTTTTTTTTCTCTACTAAATCGGATATCGAAAACAAGACGTAAGTGAGTAAGTGAATATATTGTTATATAATTTTTAACATAATTAGTTTTTGTGGATAGAAATCACCTGTTAAAGCAAAGCATTCTTCTTTCCAGTATCTGCATTCATAAATTCTAGTCCTTATAATTTTTTCAACTAAATATTGTGGATTGGTTCCCTTTATAGAATGAGCGTCTTTGACTGTTCTGTTCGCCATTTTTTAATCTTGCAGTCTAAAATCGTTAGTGTACTTATTGTATAAAGTTAATAAAATCTGGCAAATCAAGGAAATGACGTCACTTGGCGCCAAGTCACCACCTACGTTGAAATTAATAAAAATAGAAGTCGTAGCTCGTGGCTGTTATTGTTTACAAACATTAGATCAAAAAAAAAAAGTGATTACTGATCAGTACTATGCCAGTAAGGTCAGAAACCTCAGCTTTGTTCGCAGTCTCTAATATAAAATGGTTAGGGAGAAAAGAAATCAGAGATAAGCACCGTGGCAATAAACTCTTCATTCCTCATTACAGGTATTTTAATCCAATATTAAATATTAATAACTATTAAATATGGATCAATTTATAATTTTTTAAATTAATAATTTGCCTCATATGAATTGTAAATTGAGTGCAATGATTAATCCTCGCCTCGATTTAAGACACATAATTTATTTAATTACTTACTTGACTTAGACTTGAGATTGTTGTGGGAGTATCATACGAGAGAAAATTGAGTTCAATGTGTCAACTCAATGAATGGCATTAATTATCAAATGAGATGACGCAAATGACCATAAAAGTGAAAGTCAAATGGAAAAGCATTTTAAATTTGTTTCTTACTTATCTATTTTTATGATTATGTGACTTAAGATTCATATTATTCTTAGTTAATTTGTTTTATTGGGTATTAAAAGGATTTTAATCATTTTAGGCAATCCCCCGAAGTCCGGTCCCAAATTATTTCGTATGAAAAAAATTGCAATGCACAGTGTCTGATGTTAGAAAACAACAGAAATGTCAGTCATAGCTTTTGCAAATGTCAGTTTACAAACTAGTCAGTAAACACTAAATATTGTATTTGTAATTGGCACATAACATTTGCAAATAGCACCCAAAACGTTCTGCTTGTGATTGTTGCACCACTGAAGGCTCCAAGTAGCTGGCAAACAGACCGCGACTAGTACCACGCTGATAGCGGAGTTAACGTTTCGCTTGCATCCAAAGTCATTCAATAATTTATGTGTGAATGTCCTGGTCTACTGGATCAACAAATTCATGCCGTGCACAATGACAGCGTGAGCATAAATCCCGTTGTTGAGCTGACCGAAATTTTGATATCCTCGCCCATCGTTCGAGACGATAGCTGTCCCTGGTAACACATGATTAGTGATAATGCGCTCGAGTGTTTGTGCATCTCGACAGCCGACAACCTCCATCCAACATCGTCCACTACCGCAAACATGAATTTCAAAATAGAATGATGCCCAAGACTTTTAAGTAAGGAGTAATCATTGGAAATAATTTGGGACCGGACTTCGGAGGATTGCCAGATTTTATATTATTATGAAGGCAGTGTTTACACCTCCAGCGACCGAACAGATAGTGCGGGAGATATTTCTCCGGCGGGCATGTCACATAATTGCCGGACGACTGGTATGTGTTATTATTCCAGGCAGACATGTCATGAGACAAGAGGTTGCCAGCAAAATTTAAAAAAAAAATAATTCCATTATATTTGTTTAAATATCTTATAAAGTAAGCTCTACCTAGTAGCCTAAATTTAAAATATGAACCAAATAAAATAAGACAAATACAAGCCAGTTGACTGTCAATAGACCTATCAAGAAAGGATTATTTTAGTTTATTAATATTGCGTGAGAAGTAGGCTATCCCAACAGCACACAATTTTGGCCCTATATTAAGATGTAGGGTCTATTTCTTTGTGAACGTTCGACCTCCTTGCCTTAATTATCAATCACCCTCACGACTATCATTTTTTTCATTTCTCTCTCACTCTCAGTATTCTTCTTTCTAGTATGCATTGCTCCTCCCCCCCTTATTTCTTGAAATGAAATGTATACTCGTCACCCCTATGCATCTCCGACCCCAGTTTTATGTTTATTAGCGTGACAAGGCTGACGGATAGATATCTCGCCCAACTTTGATACAGCGGTCATGTGACCTGGTCGCTGGACATGTAGACACTTCATATTATGAATCATAATAATTATGATTATTATGTATTAATAATAGGCTAATTAAATAGTCCTAACTTAAAATTTTAGACTAAATGTAAAATTATGTTTAGAGTGATTCTTAAAATAAATGGTGATGGATCATTTTGTTCAATTTCACTGCTCTACCTGACACTTACATATCAATATTATGCTACTTCTGTCAGTAATAAGCATCAAAGCTATTTGATTCCTTTTGAGTCTAGCTATTAGATGGTGGGAAGAGGTGACTTCCTCTACCCATTTCCAAACCTGCATGTTTTTCTGTACTGAGTTTTAGTCCCAGTGTCAAACCTTAAAATTCAGCTAAACCTAATAATTTTTTTTTATGGGTAGCAGGACTAAACCTTAAAACTTTAAAAAAAAAATAGTCATAATAAGCACTAATTACTAATGCATGTTATTGAAATTGTTAATCTAAATTTTTTTTGTTTTTTTTGCTAAGATCTTTTCAAAACAAATAATAGGTCTGCTTATTTAAAGTAGTTCAGCATAATTTTTTTTCAGGAGTTTCATTTTGAATAATGAGGAATATTCTATTGGTGACACTATATTTGTATCCCGCCAAGAGGTAATTTCTGCACCCCCGGATATTAGCAACTGCTACATTGCTCAGATTACTGATCTTTATGAAAAAGGTATACTAGTTTTAAAACTAAGAAAATCAACTTGTAATAATACTGATAGAAGATAGTCATGATACATCTGTAAATTCTTTTATTTAGAATTAAAGTGCATATAACCTGGTTCACTGGTGAAGTTCAATTGCTGTTTTTATCTATTAAGAAAAATGTTTCAGTTTTAATATCCTGTCTCAAACAAAAATATTTCAGAATTAATTTACAGTAAAGTTGAAGTTCAAAAATTTGCCAAAGTAAGGTGGTACTGGCAAGAGTCTGAAGTGCCAAAGCCCCTACGAAAATTGCTTAGTAGTTTGACTATGGCAAAAAACGAGGTCATTCTCGACTTGACTAACAGCTTTGAACAGGAAATTGATTTGGAAACAGTCATGGGGAAATGCAAGGTAAGTCTGTCCTGACAATAATTTAACATCTTCCTATCTCATTAGAATAAGGTTTTTTGTTGAAATTTAAGAAGAAAAAATAAAAGCAGTTTAATTTGTGATATTTTCTTCCATTCTTTTATTGTTGGTCATTTTCTTTACTACTATTATTTCAGGTCCTGCATATAGCAGACAATGCTCCACTCTCCCCAGAGTTCAAGAAAGAGGATAACAACAACAGTTATCCAACTTTTTTTGCTAGAAGAGCTTATAAAGGGAAATCTTTTGTATACCTAACGGGCAAAGAGAACGAGGAATTGTTCACATCTGAAGTGCCAGCAACCCCAGACAATAATGGGAAGAGAAGAGGCTCTGCCAAGCAAGATTTTATTACCCCTAATGGTAATTCCAGGTTTTTAAGTGAGGGAGGTGCAACACCTAAAAAATCAAGCAGCATTAAAAAGTCTGTTGCAACATTGTTTACCCCAACTGACAGGAAAGGTGCCATACAAAAGGTATGCTAATGTTTGTACATTCCATATGTAAATTTAATGGGTATGAACTTTCGATTTATTGTGACATACTTACTGAATTTGGAAGGGCCTGCCTATTTCATTGCTGTTATTTTTTTAAAATTTAATGTATTAAATTACTATTTTTTTTAAATCTTGTCTTTGGTTCACAACTGCCATTGAAGATTTTTGGGCTTAAAATTTTGAAATTTTTTAACAGGACACAAGCTTTAAGGATGTTATAAAAGGGGTGTTATCTGGATTTGAATCTCCCCAGAGAGGTATCTAAATATTTAGTCATTATTTATATTTATGTTTCAAAATGAATTCTTGTTCAATAAATGATTTTTTAATTTTTGTTAAAGACTATCGAGGAGAAAAAAACGCATTTAGATTTATTAAAAAAAACTTGTATATTTTACAGCAAGTATAAAAACTAGACATTTGTTTTAATGTGTTTTCTGAGAAATCAAATTCATAATCCCATGACCTATTTTGGTTAAGGTCTTAAGTTACATTCACTCCACCTAATATGTTCATTCACCCGCTGAATCAGGTTAGGAAATAGGACAGGAAAAACACGTCTTGACTAATGTCCAAAGTGTGAAAATCTACTTTGTTCTTTCCATGGAGAGCATTGTATGAAATACCTTTTTCATTAGGGCAGTAATGGAAAAACTATGTTGTTTATTTGTGTGTGTGTGTTATGTTTTATTCCTCACAACTGCCACCACAACACCATATACTTAACATCTGCTACAGAATTGTAAAATATACTAATAATTTTTTGTTTGTCGATTCTTTAAATATCATAATTGGTAAGGAAATATTACAATCTTGGGGTCTTTTTGAAATCGAAGTTTCACTTAACTGATTATAGTCAGCGTCGGTTTATTCATTCTTTCAAACGTGTTTGTCTCCCCAGCTACCTTAAAACCGTCAAAACTGACAATGGAAAGGCTCAACCAAAAAGATGTGGTGGATTTGATCAACAGGGGCAGTGATGATGAATCAAACCACTCAGGATCTAACGCAAACTCTGACATAGAAACAACTGATGATGATTCTGAGGGTGGCCAAGAACAAGGTACAAGTGGTAAAGATGGCAGTCATTCTGGAAGTAGAACTTTAAAAATATCAATGTTGAATAAAAGATGGAGAGAAACCGATGACAATGCTGAACTCACCAAGGAGTCAGTGAACATGAAGAGACAAAAAATGGACATTAGTGATGATGGGGAGGAAAATAGAGCAACCAAAGTGAAAAAATGGAACAGGCATATTAACAACAAAAAGTTGAAGATAAAGAAATCCTCTGATGGTATCAATTTCCTTCCAGTAATAAAGCTGGAGCGGTGCACTTTTGATAATTCAGCTCTCAATAATCATCTGCAAGCCACTTCACCTTTTAAAACCTTAGCTGGTGACAAGATTCAAATCTTTAAATCAACAGAGCATAAGGTCAAAGCTATAAAAGGTTTCAATGGGGTGGATGATGTTTCTGATAAGAAGCTGACAAGCCCACAAACTCCAGATTTGTCTTCACCCTTCAAGTCTTCCCTTGTATTGTCCAGGGCCAGCTCACCCTCTAGAAGAAAATCCATTTTTGAAGCCCCTGAAAGCATATGTCTCAACAAAACTCCCCTGGCCACACGGAAAGGCTCTGATAAGACACCAGAGAGCCTGAATTCAGGCAGACGTAGACTGTCTGTCAGCTTATTCCAATCGACAGGCACGTCTGAATTTGATGAATGTACTGCGCAAAATCCTGAAGATGCAGAAAACAAATCTGCAAAGTCGAGAAATACCATAGATCACACTGAGGATGAAGTTTTCGGCACACCCATTTCAAAGAAGCATTCTTTGTCTCGCAGAGCGAGTTACAGAGTTTCAATAACCCCAAAGCGATACTCCCCGGAATTAAACTCAACCCCAACTAAAGATTCAAAGGCTGAAAAAGCAAAACTTGTCACACCTGTCAGAGGCATACTTCCCAAATATGCAACTCCTCAAAAAACCGAAAAGCAAAGGAAAAGTGACATTTTAAAGACACCCCCTCGTCAAGTTATCTTGAGTGACCATGCTGCTTTGGGCCCCACGTCACGGGGAACTCCCAGACGAACAGCCTCATTGAAACGAGTTTCTTATGCAGAGTTTAGTCATTCAGAAGATGAACAGGAGTCACCCATCAACAGAAATCTGAAAAATATTGGAGCTAAATTATTGCATGGTAGAAGTCCTGCAAGAATGCCAATGCTGCCGAGGTAGGTTAAAAAGAATGTGTAATTGAGTCTTATGTACACTTCATACTCTTCCGTTACACTTGCACCAGCCTTTTGGACTGCTGAAAATTAGGGATAATATTTTCACAAATATTAATATTACAAAAATATTTAGGTTAAATTTAAATTATTTTAAATTTTTTTAAATTATTAATTTCACAATTATTTGTTTTTAAGAATCTTCTGGTCTATATTTAAGCTTTACCCTTAATTATAGACCTGTTTACTCTTACGAATTTGTAGTACAATGTAGAGTTTTGAGATGTATTTTATGATTGTACGCTGAGATCTGTCATAACTACCATATTAAGAGACCGGATTGATAATATATACATTCCGGTAGTTTTTTCAGATTAAAAAACAAATAAAATTAATTTTAAAGTACATTTTCAATTGTTAGTTTTAGTTTTAAGTTGCATTTGCATTCTACATCTAGCAGTGAATGGATCGAGAAATACAATTGTATTACATTAGCACTGAGAGGGGAATGGAGTGATTTTTGTCTAAAAGAGGGTGTGGGGGTCCTAAGATTTTTAGCGCCACATTTTGGCAATGATTGGGGGCATAAAGTACATAAGTTATTAAAAATAACTCCTGAAAGTCCAAAAATAGCTTATTTACATCTCGAATGCTGTAAAAAATATTACGCAATGTTTGGTAGGAATTATCGTCATAATTTTGGCATGTATTTTCACAAATGAACTCGCTAGATATTAACAGTACTAAGTAGTACAGGTATTACAGTATTATTTAGACCACCATATATTCAATATGCATTTGACATATATTTTTTGTTGGGCTATGCCAGGGCTTCTAAATTTTTGTTTCTCAGCGCCTATGCCAAATTCTGGTTTTTAGCAGGCTCCCTCTGTTAAATTCTAACAAGTACACTTCGAAATACCAAATGCATAAACATAATATAATAAAGGCGTGGGTAAAAATAAATATAACAAACACTTATGTAGGTCACTAGCCGTAATCTACTATTTGCAAACAATTGTTAAAGTGAGTTACTGTTTGCACCACTGCTGTTAGATTAAAAGTGGAAAGAAATTTATGAAAATTTTGTAATATTTCCCAATGCTCCAGGGAGGAAACCACAGCGACCCATTTTGAAAAATGTGCACACCCCATGGACCAGTAGAGGGACTATTTTTAGTGCCCTTGTCTTTGTGAAGAAAATGGGATGTTTTAGTTTAGTTCATTATGAAGGTCCTTTCTAAAGACCTTTATGGCTCCCTCTGATTTTTGGTACCTGTGGCTCATGGTCCCATGGTGATGTGGCTTATAGTCTGGAAACCAGTCAGTGGTGAAAACCTATGTCACATTTTGTTTACTGTAAAATCATAATTATATACAGATTATTTTATTTTTTGTCATTTGAAAAGAAAAAAAAAATTGAGGGTGTGGGGTGTCCGTATGTTCATTGTACAAACAAGTGGGGGGGGGGATAGAAAATTTGTCGTACATACTACATATACCCTCCTGACATTTGTTTGCTTGAGTATGACATGATTTTATGACATTTATTTCTCAAGGCTGAACCGCTGAGAGAAAACAGAAAATTAGAGATTGAATTCTCAACTTTCCGCACAGCAACATTGGGTTTTTATATATTTTATAGGATCTGAGGAAGCCATTGAAATCTATTTTTAGAACTTGCAAAAATCTTTTCTTTACCCATTTACAGATTTTGAATTTGAACCATGTTAAATTTTACCAGTGACAGACTATGATAATGTGATCTGCACATTCCCCTAAATATTGATATCTATAGCAGATACATGTCTGCAAAACAAAGTGATTGCGGATAGAAATATAATAATAAAGTTTATTTGAAAATCATGCTTCTTCCCCAAAGGCTCGAAGCACGGTACAAAGTCAACCATATTAAAAGAGAAATGAAAACAATCGATTTTTTACCACATTGAAATAAAAAATGTACATTACAAAAATTACATATGAGCATACCCATTCCAAAGTCTTTCATCCCTTGCAACCATGAACAACACAAGCCAAAATACATCTAGGAGATAGTAGCTAGCTGGAAAAGATGGTAGATATCACCCCAGCAGGTTTTTGCAAAATAGATGTGTTTTCAAATCGGTTTTGAAGGACATCTATTTTTCACCTTCAGTTTCCTTTTTTGTGTGACGGCAGCTTAACTCAATCCCACATGACACATGATGCGAGTAGTTATTGTATAAATTATATATACTGTATGCTTTTATTTATATACTGTTAAGATACTGTACTGTTATGGTACGATTTTGTGACGATAGTGTAAGATGTTAGGAGTCTGAGGATAAACAGGTCTTTAATTAAAATCTTCCCAGGTTTTGTCATGGGTTCCCTTAGCAATTTGAAGGAAACACTTTGATCATACCCCTGCTTTTCTTTATTTGACATTAATCTCTTTCTACTTTTGTTCTTTTATTCATGAGATTTTGGTTGGTTGCTTTCAATATTTAATTCATATTCGTTTCTTTTAATATATTAATATAACTTTTTAAACTGATTTTAATTTTATTGTCATTTATCCAGAGATAAATATTAACATACAAAGCCAAATAAAATTTTGTTTTTACTTACAAGTGCTCAAAATATGTCCTCCATTGAAAAGATGTATTAAAAGTAAAATAGTTCTACAATCTCCCAAATTCTCATCCTAATCTACAGCTGTAGAGAATCTGATTTAGATGACAGTGATGCAGATGAGGACTACAATGGCAACATAGATGACTCAAGTGAAAGTAGTGAAGATGACAGTTCTGTATCTGAAACTCAAAAGACAAAGTCCAAATGTCAAAGTAACAAACAAGGAAGAACTGGAACCCCCAGCAAACTTAGAACACCTAAAACCCCTGGAACTCCAAAAACGCCAAAGGTATTTAAATGTGTATTATGACATTGAATTTTAACCTGTTCTACAAAATAAGTAGATGGCTTATAAATACATGGAAATTGTCCTACACATGTTTTTAAAACAATATTCATTGTGAATTTTGACATTACAAAAAAAGTGAGCTTTCAAATATATTGATACATTTTTCAAGAAATATGTGATTTTTTTTCAAATTATTTTGCTTAATGTCAAATTTTTTTCACTATTTAACACTTTATATTGACATAGAGTATAAAGAAAAAAATAATTCCATCCATATGACTATGAGGCGGTATACGCAATAACTTTTTCAAATCGGACAATGTTGATTACACTTCTATTAATTTTAAATACAGAAATCTGTATTACAACAGCTAGCATTACAAACAAATGAATTATCTATCATTATATAAAAATTGCTCTAAATCCAGTTTCTACAATATTACTGTTATACGTAAAATCTCAAAATGACAATTGGACTTTAAACAATTACCGTACCTGTATTTCATTTCAATTACAAGTGAATTATCCATTTGGGAAAATTTAAACATTTTAGAATTTAGTGTAGCTAAGGGGAGACTATTCATTCATTTTTCTCGCTATCATGTTATAGTTGGGATATACAGTTTCAATTTTTTATTTTAATGAATGGGAGATAAGCATTGGCTTTATTGAACACTGGGTATAACATACGAATGATTATTCTACCAATGCACCAATCCTTGGGAATAAGTTTAATATTTTAAAAAAAAAAAATCTTTCACATTCTAGTGTTTTAATATGACAAGAGAAACATGGTCATTTCAGATAATGGGCAATAGCATGGATAGGTTATTACAGTAACTTTGTATTTTTAAACACAAATTTGAAATATTTTTGTTGTGTTTTTTTTCAGTTATTGAACAGAGTTCTGTTAAGTGCCAAGCCTAACCTGCCTTCAAGATCGGTTCCAAAGCCTGTATTAAAAAATGATTTAGAGGAGGCAAGAGCAAGGTACAAACTAAATAATAAGACCAATCCTTAAGTGATAAAAGTTTAGTTGGGATCAGATATTGACACTATTTGATGTAGTGTAGGTTTTTAAAAAAAATATTAAAAAAAATAATTTAGTTTGGAAAACAAATTAGCAATATATATAATACTTTTGTTCATATTATGACGTAAGAGAGAAGGTTTCATTACATATTTTGGTGATGAAAAAATGTTCACTGAAAGTTGTTCATGTGCAGGTTGCATGTGTCTGCTGTGCCAGACTCACTTCCTTGTAGAGAGAAAGAGTTTTCAGACATTTTTAATTATATAGAGAGTAAGATTCAGGATGGCACCGGAGGGTAAGTTTTATCATTTACTCTATTATATTCTTTTCCAGTTTGCTTTAAAATAATTAGGGTCACTGGTCTGGGTGTGTGTGTGGATATCTAAAATTTAATCATGTGAGGTAATAGTACTTCTAACATTATGTTGCTTTATCAATGCACAGCATTCACATTTTTTCCTTCCACTTTGATTTAAGCTGCATGTATATTGCTGGAGTGCCTGGAACAGGGAAAACAGCCACGGTGAAGGAGGTTATCAAAATCCTGGAAGCCGAGAGAGATGAGGGAAATCTCCAGAACTTTAGGTTTATAGAAGTAAATGGTATGCGTCTGACGGAACCCAGACAGGCATATGTTGAAATTTTAAAGGTCTGTACAATTCATTGGGTTTAAATTTGGAAAACTTTATATAATAAATTAAATGCCTTTTTTGGTTGTGAAAATCTAATTTAAATACACAGAAATTATTCCTACTCTTGTTTAAGGCCCTGACCGACACCAAGGCCACAGCCGAGCATGCTGCCAATATACTCAACAAGATGTTCAGCTACCCTGCACCCCGATCTGATCCTGTAGTACTACTTGTTGATGAGGTTAGGCATATAATACATTATGTTTACTTAAGTGTGTTTTCTATTTCACTGATATCAATTTTACAGGTTAGAATATTCAAGAAATAGGATTACCAATTTTTTTTTTAGAGGGTATGTCAAACCGAGTAAGACAACAGAATTTTTATATACATCTTGATATCACAAGTCATTTTTCTCTTTCAGTTGGATTTGTTATGGACTCGCAAACAAGATGTTATGTACAACATTTTTGATTGGCCAACCAAAGATAAAGCAAAGCTGATTGTACTGGCTGTAGCAAACACCATGGATTTGCCAGAACGAATGATGATGAAAAGAGTGTCCAGCCGTTTGGTAAGGCTTCAATTCTTTTTCAGTGAATCATAGCTTTATGATAATTTTATTTTCCTTACAATCCAGCATTAAATATTGACATAACTATTATTTTATAAGACTAAATTGGAACACTAAATGTGTGGTACATTAGTTATAATTTTTTAACATTTGAATTTCATTCTTAATTAAACACAGAATTTAAAATTTAGTTGGTTTCAACTAGGGCTGCAGTTGTTTTTGAAACTGAAGATAAAATTTGTTAATTCACAAGGTAACATCATAAAACATAGTTATTTGATTAATTTTCAGGGCCTCACAAGAATGACCTTTCAACCATACACATTTCGTCAGTTGGAAGAAATTGTCATATCACGTATGAAAGGACTTAAAGTTTTTGACAGTGATGCAATCCAGCTAGCAGCCAGAAAGGTAAATCTAAACTATTTTCTATTTATTTTTAGATTTCTTATCGTTTAATGTTTCCCTGATGCATTAAGGAAGGCATGGGAAACCTTTTGGCTCAGCCGTGGTTGTAAGAGATCAATAATATTTTAAGAAAACAGTTTTTCCCGTTTATAGTTTTTTTAAAAAAATGCTGTGTTTTACCTGCAGCTAAAATTCTTCTGTTATTGAACAGGTTGCAGCCGTTTCAGGAGATGCTCGACGTGCATTGGACATCTGCCGCAGATCTACTGAAATAGCAGAAGCCAAGGCTGAAAATGATGAAAATGCAATGATGGTCAGCATGAGTGACATTAACACTGCAGTAGAGGAAATGTTCTGTTCACCAAAATTGATGGCCATCAGGTGATTAATCAAGTTTAATCAACTGATAATAATATTTATAGGATTCCTAAATTTCATTTTTCAAGGGTTAGAAAATATGCTTGTTAGAATGTAGGTTAAATTTATTTAAAGTTGCCACCATAAATCTGAAATAATCTGTTTTACTTGTTTAGTATTTTTATTTTTAAACAAATTTTGGGATTAATTTTATATTTAATCAACTTTCTCATAAATTTTATAACATTAAGTAATCTCTGAGCAATTTAGACAGATACATTTTTTAATGCATGGAACAGACCTGTTTACTCTTACGATTTTGGCGTACAATGTACGATTTTTAGATGTCTTTTACGATTGTACGCCGAGACCCACCAAAACTACGATTTTTCAGAGACCCGGTGAAACAAATGTTTGTAGTTTGTGTAATTTTGTCCGATTTAAAAAAAAATTACAAATTTTCGGTTGTGGAAACTTTAGCCCTTTTGGCCCCGCATTGAATGGACCCAGAAAAACAATGGGTTTTTGTATATTTTTTTTATAGTTGGGACCGTCCTTCATTATATTTATGTACGCACTGAAAGGGGAGGTGGCGGTTGTTGATTAAAGAGATTGGTGGCATACTAGAAACACAGGTTTGGGGGGGGGGGAAGGTGGGAGTTTCAAAAGATATAAAAATATCACCGCAACACATCCTATTGATGGTGGTGATTGTCTTAGTTTTGCTTTGCGTGTCACAGTGAACCAGCTAGCTGTGTCAGCAGCAATCTTTAGGCTAGTCGCCTGGCAACAACTTCACTCACCACCTCCTAGGACTGCTACTGCTAGCAAGCGTGTGTTCGTCTGAACCGCGGCGATTGTGAAGAGAGAAAACTAGAGGTGTGAGATTTAGTCAGTGGCATTGGCATTAAAAAAATATTTTTGAACTCGCAGAGCAGCTCTATCCAGAGGCGTAGCGAGGGGGGCAGGGGGCGGATGTCCCCGGGCGCCAGCTAGTTAGGGGCATGTTTCTTTCAGAAATTTTCCACCAGGGGGGGGGGGGGGGGGGGCAGGGCCAGCAGTTCCAGTTGATTTATTGCGCCCCCCCCCCCCTTTTTTTTGTTTACAGCTTGTGATAGTTACTAGTCTCTGATACTATAGCAGTGGTCGGAAAGTCGCGGTTCGTCCAGACTGCGGCTCGGCCAGTCAACTACAAAGCGGTTTTTACTCCGAAAAACATGGTCCTTGACAGGTTCTTGAAAATAAATTTGCCTCGCAAAATTTGTTTCATGGTCCTGCTGCTGATTTTGGCTCTTTTGACCAATGAGTATGCTGACCACTGCTCTTTAGTATGTGAACGTAAAAACTCAGGGGCATATTGGATAGACGAGGGATCTATGTTTTTCCTATTAATGAGGGTGGGGGAAGGTGGGTTCGTCACCAGCACGGAAATACGTGTTAGTGGACTAGTGTGTTGTCACTATGTCGTGTTTAATATGACTACTGCAGCGACCTCTTTATGAAAACACAAAGCATTAATATACGGTATACGATAAATGCGAAGCATTGTGGTGATATTTGTATAGCCTTAATAATAATAATAGACCTAATTAAAATTCGTGGATTTCACAGATTTTCATGTGACAGTTGGCTCTATAAGAGACTGTCAGGAATCAAGATAATTATTGTAGAATTTATGCATACATGTAGGTGCATTCTGGTGGGGCCCCCCCCCCCCCAATCAAAACGCATCCTCAGCGAGTAAGTCATATTTGGATGGCCCTTTAAGTTGACAGGGCGTGCGGTTGGGGGGCGAGGTATGAATCATTGTTAACTTTTTCATTTTTATTTGAAATGTTATATTTGGGCTGTCCAAACAGCTCTGGCGCTAGAATTTGGCTGCATTGACCTATGTGCACATTTCGTGATTTTAATGTTACCATTATCATTGTTTTCGGTTCCGTAGTTGACCTCACTTAGTATTTTACGATATGACCTCGACAAAAAGAAAGGCTCGCGGAATGGGTGATGAAGAAGAAACTTCTCTTTCTACCGATAAACATCCGATTCAACAACAGAAAAAGAAAGTTTATCAGCAGATAGTCTTGCTTGAATATCAGACTAAATTGATTGGGTTGCGTTCTTTGTCGAATAGTCCATCATGCGCGCACTGCACAATTACACAATCTGCAAGTCGGACTTTTCATGAACGATCTATCAGGGACAAAAGGAGTGGTGTTGATTTAGGAAATTTTGGGTTTGGCGTGGGTCTAAATACTTAAATCTATACAATCAACACCGCGACATTTCCGTAATGACAAGTTCGGGGGGGGGCTGTTCCTCGACAGAAAGAACGTACGTTATTTAAAAAATCTACAATATTCATCTCCTAACTCTGAAAGTCCAAAAATAACATTCTATTTATATCTCGAATGCTGTAAAATACCACCCAATGTTTTGTAGGAATTATTGCGGTGATGTTGTCAAGATGTATTGTCACAAAGAAACTCGCTAGCAGATGTAGAGAAGTTACAGTTGTGTTTAGTCATTAGTGTTCAGCGCGCGTGTGACGCATATTTCGTTGGGCTACGCCAGTGGTTCTTATAATTTTGTTTCCCGGCGCATATGTCATATTAGGTTTTCGCCAGGGTTTCCTGGATGAAATTCTTACAAGTACACTTCGAAATAGGGAATACACAAATAAAATAAAGGGTGGGATAAAAATAAATATTTCGTTCATGGAGGTAACAAACATGGAGGTATCTATAGCAGATGCAGGTCTTCAAAATTAAGTGACCGCAGTTTGCAGTTAACATCAGTCGAATACTGATTACCTTCAGTTCCATTTTTTGACAAACCGCTGAACTGGATGTCACTGAACACACGCTATACCAGTAGTTACTGTATATATTATATATTATATATACTGTATATTTATTTATTTACTATTAAGATACTGTATTGTACGATTTTGAGATGATATTGTACGATTTTAGGAGTTTGAGGGTAAACAGGTCTGATGGAATGCCATTATTTGTTGAAGTCCTGTTTTTTATTTGTCATATTTATTGTATACAACTTTTGAAAAACATTCTGGCTGTACTATGTAAGTCTACGTAAGGATCTGTTAGAAATTTTATAACCTGGATATAGCAGGGATTACATTTAAAAGTTGGTATTATTGTTTAAAAAATCTGTCCACATTGAAAACTAAAATAATTTAGACAGCTTTTCATTAAAAGTTTGTCCTTCTTGATTAGGAACTTGTCATTGCAAGAACAGATGTTTTTAAGGGCTATTGTAGCTGAGTTCCAGCGAGCTGGCATAGAGGAGGCTGAGTTCTCCAAGCTATATGACCAACATCTGACTCTTTGTAGATTTGAAGGTAAGTTCAAATTTTTTTTTGTGGACACATTTGCCTTTTTTAATTCTGGCTACGTAGCCAACTCATTCCTATGAATGTACTCTCTATACTTATTTTGTAAGAAGTTAACCCCACCCAAAAAAATCAATTACTTTTCAGTTTAATGAAAGTCACCATTCCTGTGTATCAAATAATTTCTAAAGATGTATAGTTGTTCTTATTTGAAAATACAAAATTATATCAACACTTCTTAAACTAATTAAAAATGTAATTAGTGTTGAATGCTTAATCTCTTTCTCTCTCTCTCCCCCAAAATTTGAAATACTTGATCTTATTGTTTCAAGATTTAAGTGTTGTAATAATTCAATTTTTTAAAATTTCAAGTAAAAAATCTTGCTAGAAATGATTGCTAATCAATTCTGTGCATTAAAATTTGAAGTATTGGAATAAAAAAGAGCTTTTTGTGTGAGGGCTTCATAAATTTTCTTACCTTTTCACCTTTAGGTATCCACGCACCTACTATGTCTGAGTTGTCTGCCATGTGTCATCGACTGGGAAGTATACGTCTACTGCTTGTTGAACCAGGTCGTCTTGACCTCAGCATGCGAGTACGACTGAATGTGAGTCAAGATGACATTATTTATGCCTTAAGGAAAGATATAGAGCCGAGCTAGAGTAATTTATGTTATGTGAGGTTTTGGTGAGTTTATATTGAACAAAGTGATTGGCAATCATTGATAGCATTTTTTGACAGTATTAGACAAATGGCGTAATCATATATTTTTTTCAAGTTCTTTAATGAAATGTCACTTATTTTGATGTTCTGTAAAATTTGTTTCATGTTCATTTACCAATAACTTGTTGAAATAGTTTACATCCATTGAAGAAGTACTCAGTTTTTTAATGTTTCTGATTAGACCTAAAATAATTTTCTGTGGAGATTCAAATAATTTAACCCCTCAAAAAACGTACCTAGATACATTGGAAAAACCACAGGGATTATCAATGAAGCTGTAATCAATTTTTTTTAAAATTAAAGAAACGTCTTGCCGGATACAACTAACTTGTTTCTGTTAATAAAAGTGAGTAAGCAACTATTTTATGGATAAGATGGCGGTCTCGCCAGTTGAGGACCTGTCTCTGGCCTAAAGGGTAAATTATTCCGAATTCATAACTATGGTAAATTTAATCACAAGCCAGATGAGGGAAAGGTCAATTTAAGAATTCTTTTGTTATCTGCTGTCAATTCCTTAAATGCGTTGAACTGACTTAACAATCAACTAACAATTATTTGTCTATGGGCTTTCACAGTCGTCCTTGATATTGACATGTGTTGAATTTATATAATATATGATGAAATTGTTCATTCCTGTGTTGTGAAAGTGTAAAGAAAGAAAGCTTGGTTTGGGATATATTTATTTATTAAGCATTTTGTTTATCTGGCATCTTGTGTTAGCAGGTGTGTCCTCATGATTCATTCAAGGTTTCGTGCTGTAACATTTTTTTTAGATATTGTAGTTCTCCTGCTTGTCAGCTGTATTACAAATTACGATTCCTTTATGCTGTATGAAATGATGTAAAAGAGGTTTGCCGGGAAAGGCCTTTAGAGTGTTCTCCATTTATCCCAATATTTAGCCTGTGCTTCATGTGGCGTGTGCAATATAATTTCATCTCAGGCTTTGAACTCAATCTGGAAATATTTTGTGTAATTATGATTTATCACCTGTTTGGTAAAAAGCATTAGCCGTGTAGTTAAGGCCATAAAATACTGTCTGCTCAATGAGAAGACTTATGATTGGAATGACTCTTTAGAAATGTATGTCCACTTCAAATGTAAAATGACAAAAGTACAAGAACAATTAAATTCACCCTAGTGTGTTTGTATTTACTCAAATTTTTTCTTTAATTTCTGCTTTTTCTAATTACCATATGCTTATACAAGTTAATCGCATGCAGAAATATATGGATATATTTTTGTCAATAAAAATGTGATGGTTAAACTGAATACGAAAGGACTTCAAACTTTCGTAATGAAATTTTAAATCTGACAAGACATCTGATCTGGTGTTAGAATACATTTTCATGTCTTATTTACTTATGGAGGAATTTTCATGGAATTATCTTGATGAAGTCAAAAATTTAAGTTATTGAAATATTGTCACCTCAGGAATTGTTTTGTTGTGTTGAGACTAAACTTATTTCATTTAAAACCAATTACAGGTATTAAAGTTTCTTGTTTTGAAGTGAACTCTTTGTGTTTTAAGTTTTCTTTTGAGATTGTTTTTTAAGATTAAAATTAAAAAATAGTAAACAAATTAAAGAGTGAGGACTAAAAGCTTCTATGACATTATTGTCTAGTGATTAAGCTCTCATGAACGGTTAATACTTTTAGATGGCAACTTTGTATTTTCTTAAGGATTTCCTCGCTTTTATTGACTTCTCCCTATAACACTGAGAGACATGGATGGTATAGCGTTTATAGCAGCAGCAAGAAAGAGGAGCATGACAGAGCTCTATGATACAACAAAGCTCGCAAGAAGGTACAATGAGTCATAGAGACCGGTTAAAGACATGGAATGTAGATCAATAATGGAACGAAAGGAACAATAAAAAAGATCAGGTGGAATATTTTGAGGAATTACTAAACAGATCTCCACCCGCAGACACACCAGATATATGACCAGCAAATAAAGATTTACAAACAGAAGACGATGTCCCAAATAAGGAAGAAATAGCCCAAGCTATCAAGCAGATTAAAATTGGAAAAAGGTTACTGGAAATTTGTTTGAAAGAAATTTCGATGGAAAATTGATTGACAGAAATTTGAAAGGAAATTTGGTTGACTCTTTTTTTCAGTTCACACGTTAAAATTTTCATCAATTTCCGGATAGGCCTGAGAACAAATTAAATGACCTAGACTTTGCAGATGAAATTGCACTTCTGTCCCACAACCAGTAACAAATGCAGGAAAGACAAAAGATGTAGCCACCAATTCAGTACAGGTCGGACTCAGTATAAATAGAAGCAAGACAAAAATCATGCAGGTAAACTCTGTCAACCAAGAGCACATCTCTCTGGCAGAAAAGGCACTGGAAGATGTGGAGGTCATCACATACTTGGGCAGCACCATTGACATAATTGGTGGATGTCATGGCTAGAATTGGAAGGACTTGGTCAGAATTATTAAAGAAAATATGGGAGTCAAAGGAGCTGACTGCAAACCAAAGTCAGAATTTTCAACACAAATGTCAAACAGTTCTCTATTTAGCTGAAAATTTGAGAACAACAGTAAGTATCATGCAGAAAGTACAGACCTTCACAAACACTGGTCTTAGAAAGATCCTGAACATCAAATGGCCGAACACCATCACCACCAAAGACAGACTTGAAAGGGCATCTCAAGAGCCTATTGCTTAAGTCATAAGGAAAAGATGGACGTGAATAGGGCATGATCCCAACATGGAATCCACATGGGAAAAATGAAGGGAGTGAGGCCAAGGAATACATGTCAACATGAGCTAGAGGCACACACAAGGTATGGGATACACCTGGAAGCAGCTGGAAAGTAAAGCACAGAACCGAGATAAATACAAAATTCTTGTAGACGGGCTATGCACCAGGCATGGTAAAAGGCATTGATAAGTATCACTCTGTGCAGTCTGTGCTGTTGCTCATAGTTCATTGTAGATCTAAATGTCAGATTACAACAGTAATTTACAAAGGAATATTTGAGACTGAACACAAACATTGATGAAAATGTAATGAAACATTAAGACAAGATTTTTCTTTGATTATTTTATTGAACATTTTACAACTGGTTTACAAAAAATATATATACAAATTATATGTTAAAAATGTTTGGTAAGTTTGACTTTAACATGTAGTATCACTTTAACTAACATAAATTTTACAATTTACAATATTTTTGTCTATTTATATTTTACGCTAGCTAGAATATTTGTGAGTAAATTCAGAAATTAATTTTGTCTATATCTGGAAATCCTTGTTTGAATAAATTTTTAACCTTAAAGCTACTTGCGACTTGAGTACCAGGAGTCAAGTTTTAAAAAAAAATTCAATTATAAAAGAGGCTTACGATTTCAGAGCGGTTTTGAAATAGTTTTTTGTATTATAATGATTCAGATTTTTTACCAAATAAATTATTTAAAATTCAGCTCACAAATACTGCCTTTCTGACATGATGAAGAACTCGATGGTGTGTTTGCATGCTTACCTGGTACTTCGATTTGAAGTCTGGCTATGTTATTTTATTTTTATTTATTTAGCTTTTTTGTCTGGTGATGTCAGATTACTTTATATCTACTTTCATTTTCCGTAAACACATGGCGATTCTCTTCAAGTCGAGTTGACCCACTTTTGGCAATAAAGCTATCAACATGGCATCTAGGTCTTCTGTTTTAGAGAGCAGTTGGGTCAGATCTGCTAGCTGGAGTCCTTTGATGGCCAGTTCAGTTTGTTTAGAAATTGAAATACCAGAATGTTTGAGCTCATCAAGAAGAAGAGTTTTGTTGGAAACAGAATAGTCTGCTTGGCTAGAGCTGGCAGATTTTTTTAACCTTGTTGGACGTGGGGGCAAGCTTGGTGAAGATTCATGCAGTGATGTTAAAGATTTACTAAAAGTCAACTGTGAGATATTTTTACCAGAAGGTTTAAGTGCTGAAATCCCAGTTCTTTCTGAAAATTGGTCAGGTTCTTGTAAAGGTTTCTCAAAAGGGTGCGAAGTTCCAAGTACATCCTTCAAGGTCTTGTATTTATGCTTCTCATCACCGAAGCCCTTCACCTCCACATTGCCATTTTCATCTTTACCCACATCCTCTTCTTCATATACCCCGCTATCCACAACTTGCCTCCTTCCTGGGTTGGCCACAGCTATGCCTGGGAAAACATAACCATCCAAATCTGGGTCAGTGTAAGGATTGTCTGCCTGGTCAAGGTTTGGGGGAGTCACATGCTCATTCGGGAAGTAACAGTCT